TAAATAGATGACTGGCACAACTTTATGGCTAACAGGTAAAATATGATGTACAGGGGCAAGAATTGAGAACATTGTGACAATAAATAATTGCTCATTAGAATTGGTTTGATTCATTTGGTTACAGCAATGTGACACATGAGCAATCTGCTGAGGGGAATGCATCCCTGGAAGACTTATTGGAAGCTGAGCCCTATTTAGGTGTTACTAACTTGAAGGAAACCCGGAAAACAAGTGACCAACCTGTTGACAATGCTCAAACCCACAACTAACTGACTAACTACCATTGTTCGGCTTTATCCACTTGGCTACTGGAAAGCATTTTTTAGAATTAAGAATGCACTGTTCAAAAATGAAAAAACCCAAGTCATTAGATGTGGAAAATTAAATACTTATAAACTTTTCACAGGGTAATACTTTCAATTCCACACAGGCAAGTACTATGTGCTACCTGTTGCAGTATGGTGTAAAGGCTCATCTATTTCTCACTATATCATTGTCGCAATAATTAAGTGAATATAATACATATTTTTTAAAATTATATATATATATTTTTCAAATTACATTTAGTTTATTATTTTTAAAATTTTGGCCAATAGATGGTGCTACGTGTAAATCAGCAAATTGAATTTTAGATAGAAACTAATTGATTTACAGAAATCCAATAGATATTTTGGGGTGGAATGCAAGACATTATCTAAGAAGCATGTGAACATAACTGCTGAGTTCTGTAGCACTTGGTCAAATGATCTAGGAGTGTGTAGCGAAGAAACAAACATCCTCACTTATATATATAGATTAAACTCAGTTTTTTAGTTTCTAATTTTTAATTTACCTAGCTTATAATTTGAAGGGGAAGTTTAAGTATTTTTTCATTTGTTTAGTGGAATAACAAACAGTTTTGCTAAAAATAACATTATGACATGTTAGTTTAAATGCATTGCAATAGTCCATTTTTATAATTATTATGCTGGTTGTAATATTTACGTTAGAGGTTTCTTTTTAGACAAATAAGACTTTTGATTTTAGTTTTTAGTTACTGTATACGACAGTGGTTCACAAACTTTTTTGATTCTAGGCACCATTGCTAAATGCAGATTTTCCCAAGGCGCCCTATGTCAAATTCTAACAAGTACATTAAATTTTAACATTATAAAAATTTTATAACATTTCATGACACCCCTGTGAGGGAGCCGTGGCGCACACTTTGGGAATCACTGGTATATGCTGTTCGTTTTCAATATATTTTCAAGAAGCTTATTATAATCACAACAAATAAAATTCAATTCAATTCAATTTCAATTCAATTTATTTACGGAGGCATAAATGCATACCTTGGCTCCTCACAACAAATACAATGAGCAAACAGTAATTACTAGCTGAATTATCATACTTATTTAGTTCATAAACTAATTTTATAAACAGATATTTATATTCAGCACACTAATCATCAGGAAGAATAATATATTATATTTTTAGTTGTTTAACTCTTGCTATGATATATTTTTAAAACGTTAGGTTAGTTGCATGAATGACATAATTTTCCAGTAAAATTTGAACTGTGAAAAAGCTTACTTATGAAGGTGATGAATCCAGGATTCATATTACCTTCATCCCATACTTCCTTCTATTTGATCAGATATTTCTTTTGATACATGCATTATGCAAATAGAATAACAAATATCTGATTTAACTGGAAGACAATAGTCATTCATGTGACTATGTTCCTACTCATTCTATAGTTACTTTTGTCAGGGCAATATTTTTATTATTATTTGTAGGGTTTCATTTTGTCTTTTAGTAAGTATTTAAAGTTGATTGTCAAATTAGTACTGATCCTAATCAGTTGGTTGGATGAATCGAATGTTGGCAGTTTTGGACATGAAGGGAAGATTGACTTTAAATTAATATGAAAACTTAGTCTATCTATTTATGACAGTTTTTCAGAACTAAAAGTATCATCATCAGATTCAAATGAGGATTCTAATAATGCAGACAAAAGCAAAAATAATTTTAATTTTGGGAAAGATATGAATAAATGGAGTAAAATAAAATCCTTGTCTAAAGTTCATACTAAATCTTATAATAATTTTTCTTGTTTAATAGAACCAAAAGGACTTTCAAAAAATTCTAAATCTGATATCAATTGCTTGTAATATTTCTCAATAATCCAATTACTCTGTTCTTATTTTCTATTTGGAATTTTTTTCTAAATGGATATTATTATAGATAGATGAATAATAAATTATAGATCACTTTTCAATGAAACAAATTAAATTTAATATTTTAAATGTAAAATATACATGACCCCATGACCAAATGTGCCACAAAATTACTAGTATTACTAGTAAATGAAGCTATTTCTGTTTTGCATTAAATACATAATAAAGACTTTCTGCATAATTGGAAAAAAAGACAATTTGATTAGGCACATTTAAAACCCAGAAATTTTAATATCATATTTATCAAGTTTAATTTATTTTGTTATATTCTAAATTGTTGTCAAGTAATAATGCTTTCAGGCAAAAGTTTATGAGAACACCTAATTGAATAATTTAGATATATCATTATGTATACATATTTATTTTAATATATCGCTTTTCATTTAACCCTAGATAACTAAACTTAATTCTCAGTTACATTATAACTACACATTTGTCAAGCAGACTATGCATTAAAAAACGTTAATATCAACAAAATTGTGTAATAAAAATAGGAACTTGTTACATGGCAGAAAAGTATGATTAAGTAGGAACTAAATAAGAACAAAATATTTAGGAAATAAGATTACACACAGTTGCTACATATGTTAACATTATGGGAGCCGCAAATTGCATTCTTGCATTTCATGCAATGGTGTTTTGTCATTCTATGAGCTTTCGATGGACATAAATAGCATATTTTATGTGGATTTGACACAGTATGAGTAGGAGCTTCTACACTGGGCATATCACCTAGAACAGGGATGATGAACCTATGGCACACATGCCCAAAGTGGCACGTAAGGGAAAATCATCTGGCACGTAATGTATCATACGATTTCTGTCTTTTTCGATCATCTTTTCGGTTTATTATCTGATCATCCTTTTTTCAATCAGCTTTTTTACATTTATTCTAATTAAAGTGTATTCGTTTAATTTCTTTAAATGTCATTATTCTAAGTCTGAAACTTTGGCACTCATAAACATCTTTAAAGCTAAATATGCTTACAATATGGCACGCGAACACAAAAAGGTTTGCCATCCCTGACCTAGAATATCCTGTATCATGGTTCTGATATCACGCCTCAAAGGCACCGTCTGTAACCACTGTTGTAGCTGGGACTCCATGAGTTGGTCTCCCATCTTCATAAAGAAATCCTGCCGAGACATAGATAGTTGTTGATTGCCAGGTTTAGCATATTATGAAACATAGGTTTAGCATATTATAAAACACACATAGTGGTCACCTTTTGGTTTTTCTGTTGTTGTTCATATTTGAACACATTTGATCTACTGTGTTTACCACACCCTTTGTACTATTATAACAGTGTATTATTTGTTGGTTTTCCTGTATTTTCATCGATGTTAGGTTGATTGTGAATAGTCGACAAAACCTAAACAACTTTATTTGACTTGGCTTTGTACGAAACTAATGTCTTATTGCCGTCATAACAAAATATTGAAGTACCAACAGCGCATGATTTAGAATTTTTTAATTTTTCAGGAATTTCTCTTTTGTTACTTCTAAGATTGCCAACTAAGGTCAAATTATAAGGTGACTTCAATAGTTCATCCTCCAAAGATATAGATGTGAACCAGTTATCCATAGTAATGTTACAGTTGGTTCCATGTAAAACAGATGTTATTTCCTTTATGAAAAATGTAGCCAATGGTTTATTCTGAGGATCAATACCTTTTCCCAAATACGGAATGGCATTTATCATGCACTTACTTTTTACATCTGCTGCCATAACAATATACATAAGGTACATGCCTCTGCAACAAAGTTACGTAGAAACTAAACTTTTGTCGAGCAGACTATGGGATGGCCGTAAGTCAATTTCTAATTGATGTGTGAACTCAGTTGCATCACACACTGCACTGTTTATTCAAATTATTAAGGTAGAAAAAGAATGACTGGCAGGAAGCGCGGGAAAGTTTGTGAATTTCACTTTCGAGCAGAGGTGCGTCGTCGTGTGGACGAATGATTAGTTATCTAGGGTTAATAACAAAAGATTACAATTATTTTATAATCCATTATTAATTTTTAATTTATGTAAATTAATTTAGTCATTGATTTATATTTATTTTATTTATGACTGTTAGTTGTGCTTTATATCTGAAACATACAATTTTTTCATCTCTTTAAGGAACACAATCATTTTTAGATGTACTATCTTTATGCAATATTTTGCAATATTTTTTAACGTTACTTAGAAAATAAAAATTATATTATTGATAAGAATAAATTAAAGTAGACAAATGAGCATGACTCTAAGTAATTTTTCCAATAATGAATTCTGATTTGCCTCAAAGTATAAATTTCTTATAATAATCACAGTATAATAAATGAATTGCTTATTTTATTTATTTGTTTTTATTCATTTGGTTTAAGCAGCTTATTTGACATATGAAATAAAGATAAGAAGAAAAAATTGTTTTAAACAGTTTTAAGAATACAAAGTTGAAGCTTATAAAACGATTTTCCTATATTATATTTTAATCAAAAATGGAATGAGTTATTAAAATATAAATTATTGTAATGAAATTTTATTTTTAAAAAATTCAAGTTGTTTTGGACATCTGTTATAAATTGAGTTAAGTTTTACAAATTTTAATGGTTATTTTTTAAAAAATTTAAATAATCACAATTGAAAATTAAGATGCTACATTTATCTTTTCTAACTTTCAAACTTTAATTTATTATAACCATAAAATATATTATAATAAGTTAAGTCAATAGTGCTCTTTTATAAATGAATATAAATTTTTGCATAAGATTGTTATCTTACTTACATATAGTTCCCGGAGAACCAAGGCAGGTAAAAGTATCTGCTGTAAATAGTACATCAATAAATGTCAGATGGAAACCACCTTCGAATAAAGATCGAAATGGATTAATTCGTGGATATCAGATTCATGTACAAGAAGTGACCAAAGAGGGTGATTTAGTAAATGAACCTCGAAGATATGATGTAGCTAATGAGGATGCTGAAGAATATAATGTTACTGGACTACAGCCAGATACAGAATATTCTATACAAGTAGCTGCTGTTACTAGAAAAGGTGATGGCACACGGAGCAGAGTGAAGACTGTTAGAACATTGGGTGGTGGTAGGTAATGCATTTAGTAATAATATGCAGTATATAAAATATTTTAATAGGGATGAAATACTGAAGTTTTGATTAAATAATGTGGAAGACTATTTCTTGATAATTTTTTTCCCTTACATTTAATCATCCCCCAAAGATATAGATGTGAACCAGTTATCCATAGTAATGTTACAGTTGGTTCCATGTAAAACAGATGTTATTTCCTTTATGAAAAATGTAGCCAATGGTTTATTCTGAGGATCAATACCTTTTCCCAAATACGGAATGGCATTTATCATGCACTTACTTTTTACATCTGCTGCCATAACAATATACATAAGGTACATGCCTCTGCAACAAAGTTACATAGAAACTAAACTTTCGTCGAGCAGACTATGGGATGGCCGTAAGTCAATTTCTAATTGATGTGTGAACTCAGTTGCATCACACACTGCACTGTTTATTCAAATTNACCAGAAAAAATTTTTAACATCAAACTTCATAATTAGTTAGTTTAAGCCAATTGATAAAATGAAAAAAATGAATAAAAAAATAAAAAAGAATGAAGAATGAATAAAACATTCTATTAATAATATAATACTATATTTTAAAACATTATATTCAGATTATTTCAAATAATCTGCAATAAATATTTAGTATATGATGGTAGTATTTTTTCATATTAAATTAAAAGAGTTTAAGTAGTATATTAATGTAATTTTAATAATTATTAAAGAAATTAATACATTTGATAGTTGTACTAAGAACATTTTTATGTAAAATAATCTATTTTTAATAAATTGAAAAAGTTAATAAAAATCTTAATCTGAATCTGTAATTTAATTATAATTTTATGGCTTGAAGATCAAAAATCAATATAATTTATTATTACTATTATTACAAAGTACCTACACGTCCAGAATTAACAGTTCAGTTGATGCAAGATGATCCAAATGTAATAGTTCAAGTTCAATGGTCTAGACCATCACATGTGTATGGTCCATTATTGATGTATAGACTTCGATATGGTCGAACTGATAGAGATGTTAGAGAGGAAACAGAAATTAACCCATTAGATCATCATGCTACCATTTCTGATTTAGGTTTGTACATTATTATCCTAATAAATTATGATATAATTTTTAGTAAAGGAATTAATATTCCATCAAATATAAAATTATTTATAGACCGTGGTGCAAAATATGAATTTAGACTGGCAGGAAGAAATAATATTGGATGGGGACAAGATGCTGTTGTTTTTCTTGAAACACCTGAAGGAGGTATATTATTAGTAAACTTTATTCTGTATTTTAAGTATTCTTTATGTAGTTTTGGATATTTGGATATCTATAACAATTTATTAAATAAAACTGTGCTTTTTAAAATTCTTTTATTATATCGTAATTTAAATTTTATTAGCTCCTACTGCTCCACCTCAAAATTTCAGTTATCGACTTCAAAGTCCAACAACAATTGTGATTACTTGGGGACCACCATTATTACAATATAGAAATGGACAAATAACTCATTATGGATTACATTTTCATAAATCATCAGATCAATCTCCAATTGAATATAATACTACTGAAACACGAAAAGTTTATAGGTAAAGTTCTATGCTCTGTTTCATAAATTAATGTGATGTAGACTAATGATTTATAAACTAAATATATTTTAACAGTGATTTATGATTGTAAATAATACTTTATATACAGTATAAGTATCCATAATAGTGTTTGTTTTGTTACTTAGCAAAATACAGATGATGGAAATGATCTATTGGTATAAAACTAAAATATTTTACAATGTATATGAAATTTGATGTTTTTATAGATTCAGCCATAAATAAATTTAGTTCTGTCAGTTAAAGATTTTAAAAATTATAAAATTAAATTGAAAAAAATCATATATGACTCTAAGAAAAATGAAAAAAACATTGAAACCTCAAGATATTCTAATTCTTCATTTATATGTAACATTTTTAAGCTTCAACAAGTGTATTAGAATAGCATTTGTTTCTAATAGATTGGTAATTTTTTTTTTGTTATCAAATTACATTAGCAGCAAGAATTGAAATCTATTTGTTTTCATTATAAATAGTTGTTCCCTGTACAATCTGACTTCCAGAAATCAAAATCATTTTTGACTTGATTTATATAGTTCTGCTAAGTATAGCAATCCTAATAATAGATAAATGAATTTTGTTGAAATGGAAACATTATCTATTGATGTTGGAAATTGTTTTAGACTGTTCAAATTTTTATGGTTTTGAAATATTTCAAATATATGCAACTGTTTGGATTTGTTCATTTTCACTTTCTAAAAAGTGAATATGAAGAATAAATTTATAATACCAAAAGGAAAAATAAAATAATATGTTAAATCAAAAATGTATGTAGAATATGTTCAATAGTTACACAAGAATAGATAGAGCACAGAATTGTCCAAAATATTAAAAAAAAAAGTTTATTTACCCTTGAACTTAATGTTAAATTAAATCAAAGCTACAGACAGAAAAGTAAATATTAGTTAACATTATAAAATAACTAAACTTTTAATAATATATTATTGTAATTTTGAATACAGTGTGAGCTTGTTGTTTGTATATGCTAAAGCAGATTGTGNTCTATTGATGTTGGAAATTGTTTTAGACTGTTCAAATTTTTATGGTTTTGAAATATTTCAAATATATGCAACTGTTTGGATTTGTTCATTTTCACTTTCTAAAAAGTGAATATGAAGAATAAATTTATAATACCAAAAGGAAAAATAAAATAATATGTTAAATCAAAAATGTATGTAGAATATGTTCAATAGTTACACAAGAATAGATAGAGCACAGAATTGTCCAAAATATTAAAAAAAAAAGTTTATTTACCCTTGAACTTAATGTTAAATTAAATCAAAGCTACAGACAGAAAAGTAAATATTAGTTAACATTATAAAATAACTAAACTTTTAATAATATATTATTGTAATTTTGAATACAGTGTGAGCTTGTTGTTTGTATATGCTAAAGCAGATTGTGTTAAAAATTTAATATTTTCAAAAGCAAAAATATTATTTAGTAACATGTAATTTATTCAGTACTAGCAGACCCCGCCACGTGTTGTTGTGGCTCAAAATGTATCTATTATAAATGTATAACACTTCCCCCATGGGGGGGGAATTTTTCGAAAAATCCCTTCTTAGTGTACATTCTCTTGACATACCATATTAAAACGCAATCAAAAACGCAAAAAGACTGCATCTAAAATAGTATAAATAGAAGCAGAGTTCTTTATGGTAAGGCTTAATCCTGTCCATCTCCCCCGAGTGGGGGGAATTTTGACATGTATATTATATAAAAACACGTGCGTATTTCGAATGCAGCATTGTGTCAAAATTTCAAAGGAATCGGTAGGAACAAACGAACATTACATTTTTATTTATATAGATAGATAGAAGATGATCTGCTTTAGTTCATCCTCACAGAAAAGTATAATGCCTCACAGCAAAACAAACTTAGGTCATCATACTCGTAGCGCCATCTGTTGAACATAAAAGCCTTAACCCTAGATGATATCTTTTAATTTATATGAATGTTTAACGGAATAATAAACAGACTATGTCCACCCTGAAGTTTCATTCTAAATATTGGTGAAAGAATTTTTGAAATCAGATGAGTAGTTTCGGAGATTATCCCTTACATCCAAACTTACAAACATTACCTCTTTATAATATTAGTATAGATAAATATAAAGACCATATTTCAGTTTTTATTCATTTTTCCTTAAATTTTAAAGTTAAATTTGAAATAAAGCATATCTCAAAATAGGTCTGTGATTTTATAACTTGTTAAATAAGTTTTATTTCTGGTAACTTAAGATTGGATTGCATTATTGATTATAATTTAGTATGTGATACCTCTGGGATAATTTTATTTATAATTTTTTATTCTGTATAAAAACATATAAAATTTTTTATGATGTTTTATTTAGCAAATAAAAAATTAAGAGTGAAGTTAGAATTTAAAATATTTATCACTTTGAAATAATCTTAATATATTGAAATGTCGGTATAATGAACACCAGTTTAACAAAATTTTTGGTATAACACAAATGTATCTTGAATCCCTACCAATTTCCTATTCAGCTCAATGCAGAAATGTTTTAGCTTAGTGAATACCATTATATTGAAAATTTCATTTTAACATAATAAAAATTCTGTCCATTACAAAAGAATAGTTTCATTATAACAAAATCTATAAATGCATAAATCATACATTAATAATAAACAATCAGACAACATTAATTTTAATCTTTAGTTATGGTTTTGTTTTGATGCTATAGTTTATTTCTTTTTAATTAAGTTTACAAGAAAAAAATGGAGAAAAACGAAAAATGAAAGCAGTTTTCTTTGGAAGAGAACAATTCATTTTTGCATGTTATTTAATAATTTATTAAACAAAAAGATGTGCCTGATGACCTGCTGGAATGTTGTGTCAAAGTACTGAATTTTATCAAAAAAAACTTTGATTAAAGAAACAACACACACAAAAATTAGACTACAGTAAGACACTGTTTAATGCAGGGGATGCATTCCTAGACAACAAAGCACTAAGCAAAACAGCATTAAACGAGGTCATTTTAACATAGAGTAAATAGGAATAGGGGAACACGTGATCAAAAATAAACAAATTTTACTTTAATTTTAACTTATTTTTATATTAATTTGCACAACAATATATGTTACAGAACACACAAACATATCCACACAGAAATCTAAAGTTCATTTTTTGTGATGAAGGTCCTGGCTTTTCTGAAATTCTTGTTCTTTTGCAATAAAGTTGTGAAGTTTCATTTGTCGCTTTTTTCTTTCCTTAAGCAAATGTTGGTAGCAGAAGATCGCATCTAAATCCAGTTTTGCTTTTGCACTACTTTCAAAATCTGGATCATTCGCTACAATTTGATCAATGATTTCGGTTATCTTACCAAACTTTTACTAAGGAAATCTGTAGAGAAATTTTTTGGGTTCTTCGTTTTCAGAATCTCTATTTTCCGGTTCCACATGAATTTCATGTTCTGCCAGTTCTTGAAAGTTGTCGTAAGGCTCTCATCAGAAACCTGCTGTAACTCCTCAATATCCTGCTCATCTATATCTCCTAGTCCTGCTATATCGACTAGGCTGAGTTTGGTCAACCTAATGATACAGCGATAGGCTCTTCTTGTTGAGAATTCTTGGATACCTTCAGCCATAACTTCTTCCACACTTTGTTCATGCATTTATCAGTTAATTCGTGTCAAGCGAAGTTGATACTGCCTATGGCATCCATATTATATTTTTTCCGAAATTGCACCAAACAAACATAGATTTAAAGAAAGTACACCTTTTTGCCACTTTTTGCTGATTGGTTTGTGTTCACAAATAATTGTATTATGTACGAATCAATGAAATGCCACGATAATTTGAATCAGCATAGAATTTTGAGCTTTTTTTAGGCTTTGAGCAGACTGTGTTATATCAAATCAGCATTAAGCAAGGCAGCGTTAAGTGGGGTCTTACTGTACTTTTAACAGAAAATAATGGCTTCAAGTAGACATAACAGAGAGGCAGGATTCCAACTAATCGGAACTACTATAGCATTATTTTAGTCATTTGCTTATGATATTTTTTGATAATTGTTTTATTACAGATTAATTTTTGTTCTATATTTAATGTAACTTACACTGAAAATGTGAAATTTGGTTCCATATTAATACTAATAGATAAATTACATTTAAAACTTTCTTACTTTAATATGTGATTTATTTTATTTTATTTTTTATTATCAATAAATTTCTTTTATCCTTGCATTTTTGACTGTATTTTGATATAATGAAATTTGAGTATAATTAAAATATTTTGATGGTTCCTTCAATTTTGTTATACAAATATTTCACTGTATATTCATTTTCTCTTTTGTATTTTGCAGTTCATTGGATGAAAACACAGAATATGTTTTTAGAGTCCGAGCTTACACAGCAAAAGGACCAGGACCTTGGAGCAACCGTTTAAACTTAAATACTCCTGGTGATGTACCACCAGCTCCGACAAATGTTCAAGCAATGGCAACATCAGAACAGTCAGTAGAAGTTTGGTGGGATGAAGTTCCTTACTTTCTTGATATATTAGGCTATCAGGTAAAATTTTAATATATTTTACAGTTTAAATAGAATATTCTCTTCTATTAATATTTTACTTTAAATTTATTAAATAAAAACTTTGTGTATGGAACTATGACAGAGATCACCAGTACACCTCTTTTAAAATGAAGGGAAGTGAGCAGAATTAAAAATACTAAAAATTTTGATAAGTAAATCAGGTACACATTATGCTCATATTTACATTTTCATTTCAAATAAGTTTTCATTTTCAGTTACACATTTATCAATATGTCATAGTGATCTATGTAGCCATGTCCTATGAAGTTCTTTAATTAAGCAAGAGATTTTGATTGAATAATTGTTAAAATCAGTTTGGCAACAGTTAAATATGATTATTATGCCAACATTTTTATTATGTTTTGCCTAAATTGATAGTATGCTAATAAAAATATTTTTAACAAAAAAAATGAAAATAACGAAGTATCTTCATTGAGCTGCAATTTGAAAAAATTGTAGACCATAAATACCATAAATTCTCACTGTCACCTGTCTGTCTTTCCTTAATCTCAAGACCAGATACCTTAGGGACAGGAGGCCCCCAATTACTATATATGAACATTGATGCAAGTCATGTTATATGAAAAGCTGGAAGTCATGTTATTTCAATTCAAAATTTTCCTCTGAAAGGAGTTAATAAGTGATCAGCATGATTCTGTTATTAAAGGAAAAGTATGATGTACAGGGACAAGGCACTACAGTACTAATTTGAAGTGGAGAGCATATATTTTAAGTGAAATAAATTAAAAATATGATTAAAAATTGCAGTCTGGCAGCATTGTAACAACGCCACAATAAACAATTGCTTATTCTGTATCATTTTTCTGTATCACTTTCAAGAACATTTTATGAGCAGTGGAGGTGTTTACAGAAAAAATGTTCAAGATAAACTCAAAAAAAACGAAAAACAATTTTAATACAGGTATACCTCATTTTACATTGGTAACTGGTTCCAGGAGAGGCAACTTAAGTTGAAAAATGATGCAAGTTGAATTTATTTGTCTCCAAATTTACTAGTCACTAGGATAAACCACAAATAACCATTCCCAGTTCTGTATTTTATTTATAAATGCATTTTTAATAATATATGGTTAATAAGAATCTATTTTAAGCTTACAAACAAATAAATTTTAGTTTTTAATATAGTACAGAAAAAA